GGGAATTATTTTAACAGGTGACTTTAACCGAATGCCAGATGCTATCCTCAAACGCAACTACAAATTGAAGCAAATTGTTAAAGGGGCAACACGAAACAATGCGCGCCTGGACCTGATATACACTAACATGAGTGATGTGTACTATGAACCAACAATTGAACCAGCGCTTGGTCTGTCTGATCATCAAGTGGTGGTTTGTCAACCCAAGCCGTCGTTCGCAATGCAACCTGCCAAAAAACATTCACGGGTTATTAGACGCTTTCTCCCACGTGCAAAAGCAGCATTCAAAGATGAGTTGCAGGAGGTGGACTGGACTCCATTGTACCAGTGTATCCCTTGCTCAGATAAATATGACCAGTTTGAAACAACCATCGTATCCCTTGTAGACCGGCACTTCCAGTGGAAGCAAGTCACCAGAGTAGAAAGTGAAAAACCTTGGGTCACAGATCGTTTTAGGGATTTGATAAAAAAGAGACAGCGTGCATGGCACGGAGGACACCAGCCCCTGTATAGGTACTACAGAAACAAAGTAAACAGGTTGAGGAAGTCGATTCGGAAACAGTACTTTCAGGCAAAAGTTGATCTACTGGACCTTAAACAAAGCAGAAATTGGTGGAACGATGTAAAGTCACTCACAGGTGAGAAACACGACTATGACCCGTTGAAAAACCTTGTCGACAATTTTGCGCATGGTGATCAGGAAGAATTTGCCGAATTGGTGAAATCTTTCTTTGCATCCATCTCATCCGACCTACCTCCGCTGGAAGCACCAGAGTCTCACAGTGAGGATTTAATTCCTACCAAGTACGTCCTCACAAGTTCGGCGGTTGAGAAAGCACTGAAGTCGGTGAGAACGCACAAGGCACCTGGTCCTGATCAGATTCCCAATTGGATCTTGAAAGATCACGCACCCATGTTGGCACGACCCGTCTGCTCCATCTTTAATGCTTCGGTGGCCAAAGCAACTCTACCAAGCATCTGGAAGGCTGCTGATGTTATTGCCATCCCGAAAACGACTCCACCTGCCTCAGTAGAGAATGACTTGCGTCCAATCTCCCTAACCGCCGTGCTAGTGAAGATTCTTGAGGGATTCGTGTTTAAATGGCTATGGGAGCAGTACCAGCCGCAGTTGGATCCAGTCCAATTTGGTAACGTCCCGGGCTCATCAACTACTTGCGCTCTCATTGACCTGTTGCACAACTGGTACTCTGCCACAGATCAAGCCAAGAACATGGTGCGTGTCCTTTTCCTCGACTACAGCAAGGCATTTGATAGGATCAACCATGTGATTCTCATCGATAAACTGAAATCTCTTCATGTTGATCAAGTCATCGTCAACTGGGTTACAGAGTTTCTGCGACACAGAATGCAGCGTGTTAAGATCGGCACCTGTAAATCGCAGTGGACTGTCATCAACGGTGGAGTCCCACAGGGAACAAAACTTGGGCCATTGCTTTTCATCATGATGATTGGAGATCTTCAACTCTCCCTGCCCACAGTCAAATATGTTGATGATACAACACTGTATGAAACAGTGACATCGCCAGATGAATCCAAAATGCAGGAGTCGGTGCAGGAGGTGATTGATTGGTCCTCACATAATGACATGCGGATTAATCCAAATAAAACTAAAGGAATGGTTATCAGTTATCGTAAACATGTGCCGTTAATTCCAAGCATAAACATTGATGATTATAACATTGATCGTGTGAAACAAATGAAACTGTTAGGGTTGAACATCAGTGATGATTTACGATGGGAAACTCATGTTAATGCTGTGTATACAAAAGCTGCTCAGAGACTTTATTTGTTAGTGCAACTTCGTAGGGCAGGTCTTAACCAGCTGGACCTCTGCAAATACTATTTTGCTTGTATTAGATCCATACTTGATTATGCATGCCAGGTTTACCATAGCAGCTTAACTAAGGAACAGTCCAATTTGTTGGAATCCATTCAACGAAGAGCTTTGAGAATTATTATCCCTGGTAAGTCTTATGCAAAGGCAATGGAGCAGGTAGATATTCAAACTCTACATGCCCGCAGGAAGTCACTGTGTGAGCAGTTATTCGCTGACATGTCAAATCCTAACCATAGGCTGAATCGTCTGCTCCAAAAACACCAGCCTGTATCGTATGCATTAAGGAACCAAAGACAGTTCAGCCTGCCTTTCTGTAAAACGAACAGACTAAAGAATAGTTTCATTCCCTGGTGTCTCTATAATTTTCAGTCCTAATTGTTAGTCACTTTTTAGCAATGTTAAGTTGATGCTGATGTTGATATTAATGACTATTTTAGGTTGAAGTGTTGTTATATCGTGTGAAGTTACATGTACCTGTGAATGCATGTGTGTCTAAATGATTTAAATATGTATTATAACTGAAATGTTTTGTTTTTAAATTTAAATGCTTGTCATGACCGGTGGAGCTCTGTTAGTCATGTTCTAGGTCTGTGAAAGTATGTTTCCAGTAATTTGGTTTGATTGATTTTTTTTTTTTTACATTTTTTTATAGGAGCTTTTAATGTTTAATGTGCATTGCTATTTAAAAGTTTTAATATTTCAACTTCAAATGTAATTTAAATATCTTTCAAAATGTTTTTAATCCAACCATTTTAGATGCTTTGGTTGCTAATAATAATAATAATAATAATAATAATAATAATAATAAGAATAACAAGTCCAGTCACAAGTCAAGTAACAAGTCCAGTCACAAGTCCAGTCACAAGTCCAGCCACAAGTCCAGTCACAAGTCCAGTCGCAAGTACAGTTGCAAGTCCAGTCACAAGTCCAGTCAAAAGTTTAGTCACAAGTCCAGTCACAAGTTCAGTCACAAGTCAAGTCACAAGTCAAGTCACAAGTCCATCACAAGTGCAGTCACAAGTGCAGTCACAAGTCATTTCACAAGTCCATCACAAGTCAAGTCACAAGTCCAGTCACAAGCCCAGCCACAAGTCCGGTCACAAGTCCAGTCACAAGTCCGGTCACAAGTCCGGTCACAAGGCCAGTCACAAGTCCAGTCACAAGTCCAGTCACAAGTCCATCACAAGTCATTTTACATGTCCAGTCACACGTCCAGCCACAAGTCCGGCCACAAGTCCGGCCACAAGTCCGGCCACAAGTCCGGCCACAAGTCCGGCCACAAGTCCGGCCACAAGTCCGGCCACAAGTCCGGTCACAAGTCCGGTCACAAGTCCGGTCACAAGTCCGGTCACAAGTCCGGTCACAAGTCCGGTCACAAGTCCGGTCACAAGTCCGGTCACAAGTCCGGTCACAAGTCCAGTCACAAGTCCAGTCACAAGTCCAGTCACAAGTCCAGTCACAAGTCCAGTCACAAGTCCAGTCACAAGTTCAGTCACAAGTCCCGTCACAAATCCAGTCACAAGTCCAGTCACAAGTCCAGTCACAAGTCCAGTCACAAGTCCAGTCACAAGTCCAGTCACAAGTCCAGTCACAAGTCCAGTCACAAGTCCAGTCACAAGTCCAGTCACAAGTTCAGTCACAAGTCCCGTCACAAATCCAGTCACAAGTCCAGTCACAAGTCCAGTCACAAGTCCAGTCACAAGTCCAGTCACAAGTCCAGTCACAAATCCAGTCACAAGTCCAGCCACAAGTCCAGTCACAAGTCCAGTCACAAGTCCAGTCACAAGTCCAGTCACAAGTCCAGCCACAAGTCCAGCAACAAGTCCAGTCACAAGTCCAGTTGCAAGTCAAGTCACAAGTCCAATCACAAGTCCAGCCACAAGTCCAGTCACAAGTCAAGTAACTTGTCAAGTCACAAGTCCAATCACAAGTCCGGTCACAAGTCCAATCACAAGTCCGGTCACAAGTCCAGCAACAAGTCCAGTCACAAGTCCAGTTGCAAGTCCAGTCACAAGTCCAGTAACTAGTCAAGTCACAAGTCCAATCACAAGTCCAGCCACAAGTCCAGTCACAAGTCCAGTAACTACTCCAGTCACAAGTCCAGTCACAAGTCCAGTCACAAGTCCAGTCAGAAGTCCAGCAACAAGTCCAGTCACAAGTCCAGTTGCAAGTCCAGTCGCAAGTCCAGTCACAAGTCCAGTCAAAAATCCAGTAACTAGTCAAGTCACAAGTCCAATCACAAGTCCAGTCACAAGTCCATCACAAGTCCCGTCACAAGTCTAGTCACATGTCCAGTCACAAGTCCAGTCACAAGCTGTGGATGAACAGTGACAAAGGAATGCTTTTGTTACAATTCATGTGACTTGACTTGAGACTGATGGACTTGTAATGGACACGATTACACTACACTGGTTAGCCCAACGATGACAATGATGGTTTGAAATGATTAATGAAATAATTTGAAGTCACATCCAATGTATATAATACAGGTTTCATAATACAATGCATTTTCACTTGCTTTTTATCTCATTAATTTAGGCTCGTTTCCCAGTGGCGCTTCAGCTTGTCATTGCCCGTCGTGAATTGACTCCCCTGGATCATCCAAGAATCAATACAAAGGTAGACACTAGACATTCAAAGTTAAAATTTCTAGTCACCTCTGAAATAAAAATTCATATCCATTGAAAGCAAAATGCCAAAAGGCCAAGCATCTGGGAATTTTTCAAATCATCTAAGATTATTTGAACAAAGAAGTCGTTTTATAATTAAAATGCTGAAAATGGTACAATGCAACCACCAAAACAAGGTAAATGCTCATTTTTGACAAGCACGTGGTCTTAGTTTAAAGTTGATGTGTAGAGTACAAACAAATATTTATGTAGGACATCTTTACTTGACCAAGGAAATATGTGTTTGGCCGATTTTAAACAAGCACGTTTAAAACTGGCGTGTATGTTGGCCGAAAGTGTCATGCAGAATTTTATTCTTTTGAAAAAGAGGACGGTGTAAGATGTCAATTATTGAATAGACTGAACAAAGAAATGTATACCCAGTTTCCACCGTACATTACAGATGTCATTATTCGATTGATTTTACTTCCCTTGAGCGTCATGTAGGATGCTATTCTTTGTTTTTCACAGAGATGGCTACTGCGGCATCGGTAGGCTCTGCTTTTGAGAAGATCAGTGTTCATCTTGAGTGCAGCATCTGCACAGATAAATACAAAAAGCCCAAAGTACTGGACTGCCTACATAACTTCTGTGTAGAATGTCTAGTGAAATATCATGATGGTAGTTACCAAGGAGCAAAAGAAATCCCTTGTCCCGAGTGTCGTCAGGAGACGATACTTCCAATGTCTGGCATACACGGCCTCAAGACTAACTTCCATCTGGCTGGTCTGATCGAGGAATTTGAATTACAGGAGAAGGTAGCATGCTCAGTAGACTCGAAGCTTTTCTGTGAGACATGCGACGAGGATAACGAGGCCTTGTATCACTGCCTCGACTGTGAAAAGAACATCTGTACGACGTGCCGCAAGGCACACTTACGGTTCCCAGTGTCAGCAAACCATGAGGTACCAACTTTAGATGAAATTCGTCAGGGAAAGATCGGTGTCGCACGAAAACATGATGAGTACAAATGCCACAATCACAATGACGGTTTGAAGCAATTCTATTGCAAGACATGTAATGAGCTGATCTGCCAAGGCTGCACAGTTGTTGATCATCCCACTGCCACACATGACATCACTGCCATCGGAACGGCTTCAAGAGAATACAGAAAGTCACTGAAGAAGAGCTTGCCTGCTTTAGGTAGAGACATACAAGGCCTCGAGTTGTCTCTGCAAGACACTATTGAAGCAAAGAAGATAGTCCAGGACAACATGGTGAAGGCCCGAAAGGGGGTGCAGGACAGAGCTGCTGAGGTCATTGCAAAGGTTAGATGTGAAGAGAAACGACTCCTGGTTGAGATCACAACCCAGGAACGGGAGCAAAACAAGGGACTGGATGAGCACGAGAAGACACTGAGTGACATGCTGCAGAGAAAGAGGCATTCAATGGAAACCGGCAAGGAAGTGGAGAGCAGTGCATCGGATTTCGATTTCCTTTCACTCTACCCCGTGATCAGCAAGGATTTGACAAAGGTGAGCAGCCAGCATCTTCCGCAGTATCATCACAAACTTTGGTATCTGAGGTTCAAGAAGAGTCAGACAGTTGGTGACATCGATCTGGGCGAGGTAGAGCAGGAAGGAGACAAGTGGGAACTGCAGCATGAATTCGGCCAGCAGGGGGGTGGTGCAGGGGAATTTGAAAGAGCCAGAGGCATTGCTGCTGCTGCTGAACCTGACGAGATTGCAGTGGCCGACTGGAAGAACGAGCGAGTGGTAATCTGCAACAGCCGGGGACAAACCAAGAGCTCCATTCCGATCAATGCAAGTGAGTTCTTTTTACCTGTCAATGTCTTCAGTAGGCAATGGGAGTTATACATGTGTGTAGGCCTACTGCCATTTCGATGTAGGCATATATGCCATTTTGGTAGCTGCGTCTGTTTTTGCTACAATATGTAAACAAAAAAGAACCAATAAAGTACATGTATACATTTAATTGGTCCTGTAATTGGTCTGATCCACACTATGATCTCATGTATGTTTTTTTTTTTTGCGCAATATCTCAATTATTTTAGTCGAGGAGTTGGAGTCACGTTTGTATTTTCATCGTCTATCCACTAGACCACTGGGGAGACGATATAGGGTCCCCATCCTCACTTTCCATGTCGTCATACAACTTTATCCTCTAATTCAACTAGCTTGATCATATCATCTGTGTCGGTACGGTGTTGGTTTAAAAAAGGAACGGATAAAAATGAACAGCAGCAACGTCACTTTTTGATTCACTGTGAACATATCCAAAGAACTGTCTAGCTAAGAAGAGAGCGTCATTGTCTTCAGTAGGCAACGGCATTCATTGATGCATGTCATTTTGACACCTACATATAGGCCTGCGTCTCTTTTTATCCAGTTCATTTTCTCAAGTTAACTGCATTGAAATTTAAATGACGGAGAACCAAGTACGTACATGTCATTGGTCCTCCAATCGATTTGATCTGCACTACCCCATTAATCAAATTGGAAAGTCTGCTGTATGTTCTTTTTTTGGCGTAAAATCACAGTAGTTTTTAATGGGGTAGGCGTTGGACTCTCATTTGCATGCCGCCGGAATAAATGTTATCCGTCTATTCTCTTGACGGTTAACCACTGGGGGGACAACAGGGTCCCCGACCTCACTTTCCACGACTTCATATAACTTTATTTTCCTATTTAAATAGCTTGATCAAATCATCTGAAAGCACTGTGTCAGTGCGGTGTTAGTGGTTTTCACGAGGCTATAGCGTCGGCGCGGAAACACGTACCGTCATTATTTTGATACCATTTTAAAGCTTGGAATCTCAACTTTATCCCTGGCTAATATTGGTTTGTTGTTCAAAAGAGTTTAAAAAATTATTCAAGGAAAATCGATGATGCGGTACATCAGATGGAAACACGAGTCACACTTTAAGCGCGCTTTTTGAAAAGGTACGTATTTGCACGTCAATTGAGTATTAAAAAACACATTGAAGTTGAAACGAAGAACGATATTGTGATTTTATTCCAGGTGTAGACTACATGGAACGAAAAGAAAAGGCAGAAACTAAAAGACAACGAGATCGCTTCATCATCAACATGATGAAGCATTTCCACATTAGAAAAAAATGCGCATGATTGATTTTCCTTGAAACCGGTTGAGTTTGTTTTTGACATGAATAATTTCAAAAAACCTTTTGAAAATCAAACCAATAATTACCAGTGACAAATTAAGATTTCAAGCTTTAAAATGAATGTTTATAAAAAAAATAATAATAATGGCGGTACGCGTTTCCGCGGCGATGATAGAGCCTCGCAAAAACTGTTTTGGGTATTTTGGGACGCGATGTATATCACTCTCATTGTACAACACTAGTTGCAATGGATAATAGAAAAAAGACCTTCCAAAGAAAGACATAATTTTAAAGCACCCCCCCCCCTCAAATAAAAAGGGGGAACAGAATAGTTAACAACATCCAAGTCACTATTCGAAAGTGGACACACTGTGAAAATATCCAAATATCTAGTTAGATAAAAAGAGAGTGCCACACCCCCAAAACCATTTCCCTATACTGTTGAAAATGATTCAGGTAAATTCTTCAACAACACTGGAACACTGACCTTATTATGACATCCACATTTTTATGACCACCATTATATTGGTGAAAAAAAATGTTTTTGATCAAAACCCTCATGTGTTCACTTTCCATATGCGTTTCAAAATACTCAGCGTGAATTCAGAATTATTGGAGCAGAATCACTTGACTCTCAGTCAGAAATGTATTTATTAATAGTAATTTATTTATATAACTTGACAATAGTAATTGCTTATTCAGTTATCTGAATAATCTTATTCAATATTATTTTTAATTTTCAGATGATGTCGTTGCTGTATCGAATCAGTGGGTGTGTGCTAACCCCGGCAAGATTATGGTTTACCATAGGGACACCAAGCCAGCACGTAATTTTGGCACACTACAGGAGAGTGAGGTTGGCAAGACAGGGGTGCAGCTCACGAGCGTAGCTATCATGCCAAATGGTAACATCATAGTGGGTGAGAAGAAGCGGAAGGTGTTGACTGAGCTCAATCCCAAGAATGGTAAGATCCTACACACCATTACGGTGAAGATACGACCTAGCTTCTTGGCTGTACTGAGCAATGGTTGGATTGCGATCAGTGATGACGAAGAGGGACTAGTAGAGATAGTGGAGGTGTCTGACGGCAACGCTGTTACAGTCGGCGCCATCGAACCAACCATTGACGGTTACCGAGTAAAACGCTGCAGGGGTGTATGCAGCAACAGCTCGGGTATCTACCTTGCAGTGATCACAGGTAAAGTCAACACCGGTCACATACACCACTATAACTGTGAAGGTCAGTTTGTCAGCTGCGTGGCCCAGGGGCTCTACAACCCCTGTGGAATCACATTCACAGCCGATGGGCAGCAGCTGGCAGTGGCTGACCTGCACTCAATCAAGATCTACCACAAGGTGTGATGCCAACGAAAACATCGAGCATAAAACCGCCTTTCCACCCGTGTTTTCAAGGAAAGTGGAATCTTATGTCAATTTACCAACGATTGACTAACTTCGCTGTGTTTAGGCCTATTGCGTTGAAGATTATTTCGACTACAAATGTATCTGTTTCTGAAGTGAATGACTGCGATGTCATTGGAGAGCTGCGTAGGTATAGTTGCATTACAGTTGATCTGTAATGAATCTGAAAATACGTACTTCTAAATGCTTGGAGAAACAATTTTTAGTTTATACGCAACAACATATGTCTCAAAACTCTTGAAACATCAATTTGCAATAGAAATTGACAATTAGCGTTTAACTTCAAATTATATCATTTTTGTAAAGGTAAAAATATTGTCGGTGAAATTTTTTCAAAGGTCGTTACTCGAACTATTTTTATTTCTATCAGCCATTGCGGAAGTATTTGGCATATAAGGTAATAAAACATAAACATTAATTACATTTTTGATTTGTGGTAAAAAGGACTCAAGCCACACATGTATATAAGTTAAAATCATATAACAAGTTCTATTAAAACTGCAGTATACAAGGCGTCCCCAAAAATGTCCGCATGTAGGACGTATCAACGTTCTTAATTGTTTATAGAATTCCTCAAATTTAATTTATGAACACAAACCTTAAATAAAATTAATGAACACAAACCTTTTGCTTTCTTATGTTAATTTCTTTTTGGATTCGGTTCAGTGGTTTTTGAAACGAAGACTATTATGTAACACCGGTCCATTTTGCCTCATTCAAAGTTCTGGCTTTGCTATAACTCTTTACTAAATCCTTGACTCATTTGCTTAATTTGATGTTTGTCTGCAGGTGCATGTTCAAGGACGCATTAAAATATTACATTGCATGATCCCTTTAATGCACAATTGCAATTCCTGTATGAGATACGTAGTCCACTCTGTGGAATTATCTACTCTTTTCTGTCATAAGTTCATGCCCGATTTAAAAAAAAGTTCACAAAAATAACTACTAGCATGTACATACAGCTAGCTTACGTATGTATTTCTACATTACCTAAAATAATTTAACAAATTTATATCCTGACTCTAATAAATCCACAGACTTAAATTATTCGTTATTACTACACGAATATTCGGTAGAATCTGTTGTAAAAAAAATGCTGTTTACATTCTTAACATTCATTACTGTAGCGGAAAGTGTAGGGACTTATAGCTAGTTTATTTACAACGTCATCCCTATTGCACTAACGTAAATTCACTGTGTGTTGGTGACTGGGCGGAGCATAAGAGCCCAGTGGCTGAATGCGCGTACGCTATTGGTTGCCTAAGGCCCATAGGTTTAGTGCATGCATTTGTGTTTGTGCGGCGTATGCATGTTCACGTGAGGGCTATTCACGTGATCGCGCGGAGGAGTTGTGCTGTGGACAGCGGAGAGTACTGTCGTGTATTGCTCGCGTTCTGTGTTTTGGGTAATGCTGACGCGCACTGTGTAAGGCGCTGGCCCTGACTGTGCTGAAGTTACGCTGTGTGATGCTGACGCGCAGCCGTACAAGTGAATGTACGGTACGATGCTGACGCTAGCTTGCATGGGTAAGGCGTAAATCAGGTTAAGGCTGACAGCGTGTATTACTTACATTGGCGTGCATTGCTTACATTGGCGTGTGTTATTTACATTGGCGTGTGTTATTTACATTGGTGTGCATTGTTTACTTAGGTACATTGTTTACTTAGTGTGCATTGTTTACTGAGTGAACGTTGCTGACTTAGTGTACATTGTTTACTTAGTGTACATTGTTTACTGAGTGAACGTTGCTGACTTAGTGTGCATTGTTTACCGTAGTGTACATTGTTGACTTAGCCGTGCATTGTTTACATTAGTGTACATTGTTGACTTAGCAGTGCATTGTTTACATTGGGTGCATTGTTCAAGCGTGCGCGTTGCTGCTTGGTTGAAGCTGTCAGTTAACTCCCAAGTGTAATTAAGTGACCCTGATAATTAACAACCCCATCAAAACTCAATCACTACTGCATATTTCTTGATTATTGTATAATAAAGTACGATTATATTTGTGGTGCCGACATTCCTGTTGTCCATGTGTATTTGTTGTTGGTTTATTGTGCACTTAACAGTGGGTAATCACAATCATCATAATCGGCGGTATATTTCCTCCAAAACGGACCTGCTCCCTAGGCCTTGAGGTCGCTCTGAGTGGTCTCTCGTCTCGGGAAAGCTTGCGTTCAGGAAGATCAGCTACACTCTAATAGGTGTCAGACTTGGTCCCAACGAACTTAGGTTTGGCCCGGGGAGATCCCCGCCACATTACTTTGGGAAAACCTATACTTAACAACGTTTAATGAGGTCAAAATGCGTAATCTATAGAACTTGATCACAAAACTAGTTGTTATATTAAGCTAAAAAAATAAGTATTCCATAGAAATTGTTTTGCAGAAAACGATGTTTACATTCTTAACATTCATTACTTTGGAAAACCTATACTGAACAACGTTTAATGAGGTCAAAATGCGTAATCTACAGAACTTGATTATAAAACTGGTTGTTATATTAAGCTAAAAACATGAATATTCCATAGAAATTGTTTTGCAGAAAACGATGTTTACATTCATTACATTTATTACTTTGGAAAACTATATTTAACAACGTTAAATAAGGTCAAAATGCGTAAACTATAGAACTTGGTTATTAAACTGGTTGTTACATGGAGCTAAAACATGATTATAACAATAACAGCCAAATCACAATTAGAGGGCAAATTTTTTCTTTACAAGCGGGATTCAAAGACTTAAAATATTCGTTACTACCTGTATATTCAGTAGCTGTGTGTATATAAGAAAGCAAATCTTTCAATTGAAATTCAATTTTTGCTATGGCTTACATCAAAATCATAGTTTGCAGAACAGTTTACATTCGTTACATTATTACTTTGGAAAGCTTATAACTGAAACTGCATATTTGGCGACACTTTTATCTATTACAAAATTGTATTTCAAATTTTTTAAAGGTTTTTTTATTATTAAAGTGGAGATACTTTTTGATCTGCCAAACACTAAGGGCGAAACGATTTAGTGCTTCAGATCCTAACTGTGACCTCACGGAACACCTTAAGATTGAGAAGACTGCTATCAGCACCGGCAAGTCCGAGATGTGTTAAATTGTGTCAAACCAGACTTGTGTGTATGAACAAACCCTTTAAACGCGTGCCAGTACATTTTGTTTGATGCACTGCTATAAACAGTTTTATGTAATTAAAACAACATCAAGAAAACTGTTCTTGTCTCCATTCCTAGAAATATTTTCTGTGCAGGGTGTTTCAAAAAGAATTGTACACAAAGAAAAAATTCCCTAAAATGACAATTTTAATGTTTTTGCAATATCGCTCCATACTTACGGGTAGATAAACCTGTCAGTCTTTAAATGACACCATGATCATGTTGCTCATTTAATGAATGACTGATCAGGGGCTACACAAAGTGCAAACTGTGTGAAAAAACGGCTTGTGCACATAAATGCAGTGTTTTAACTGGATAAAAGGCAATAAAAGACAGGTGGAGCAGTGGAGGGAGGGTGCGTGGGAGCAGAGGGGTGAGAGGCGAAGAGGGGGCTTAGAGGGGGAATAGGGGAGGGGAAAGATGGGGAAGAGGGGTGCAGAGCAGGGTAGGGCAAGGGGCAGAGCGGGATGGGGCAGGGTGAAGAGGGGCAGAGAAGAGAGCACAGGAAAGGGGCATATGCGGGAGCAGAGGAGGGGTGGGGTGTAGGGGTTTGGCACTCCACATTAATTGTTCTGCTGTCGATGTGTGTGCCCATTTGAAAATGTCCCGGGATGGAGAGCGCCAACTAATATATAATATTACCCACGATCGTCCGCTTTTATTGGAAGATGGTATCCCCTACTCATTTTCGAATTTACAGAGGCCAGATAATCGGGGGAATAATCCTGTCTACCTTTCAGCTCCTATGGTCTGTTGGCAACTCTGTCACGCCCCCTAACGACACTCATGAGTGTATTGTGCACATTGTGCTTTACGTTTGACATGCAAGTCAACTGAACTTGGTACCCCGACTGACTATGCAATCATGGACTGATATTTTGCAATCAGCAGCAAACGTTTGCCGTCATTTTCCAGAACCGTCCAGTCCTGTGCACTTCGTCGTCAGAACAGACACCGAATTTCTCTTGATATTTTTCAGACGCTCGCATCCCACTGTACCAAACGTAAGGATTGTGAATAATTGTGGAAATTACATCGTTTTGACATTATAACACTGCTATTTAACATAAATGCACATGAATTCAATTCAATTGTAATGTAAGTATATGAAGGTGTGTATGGTTAAGTGACAAATCTCTTTCGTATGTTCTGGAAAGAACCAGCGAAAACAACATTTTGGAAAGGATGCTTCGCTGATGTTTCCAATAACGGACGGAGTTATTTATTTGAGTTAACTAAATTAAGTCCAGTGCAAACAGCCGTTAAACTTTCCAGTTGTGAAGTGTAGACTGTTGATTGTAAAGTTTACAGTCTGCAGTTGTACGGGGCCAATTTGCAGAAGAATTACATTGCTAGTTATAGCTCAGGTGGCAGAGCTCTGGACGGTAATCTGGAGGCCACGGGTTCAAATCCCGCTTTAGTCAATGTCTTAATTGTTCAATTAAAACAAAACAACTTATCTTTAGTGCTCAGAATCAGAATTTGTTGCTGAAGAAAGATATTGACTGAAAAGAAGATTTTCCAGCTTGAGACATTATTGGAGATTAATCCCCTTGCAATTGGTGATTTTAAACCACATGTTTATTGGTGGCCCACAAAACTATTATTTCCCCTAACATGCTTAGTATTATTCCAAGTTTCATATTACATGCTGTTTCGGCAACTACAGCTTTACAGCGTGTCCCAGAAAGAGCGGGCCCGGAAAAATCAGCAGCCATATGTAAACAAATATTCATGTGAGACTGAATGTTGTTTCTTTATTTTTCATGCTGTTAATGTCGTTTATTGCTTGTGGAAAAAAAACTGAATTGATTGCAAACTTTTAAAGCCATGACTAGAAACGTACGAGTTTCATAAAACCGAAAATCAAAGGGATAATATGAACAAACTATGGATGAAAGCTTCCCATTGGTGTCTTGGATGCATACCTCTGGTCATTCATCACCGAGTTCCATTACTTTGAAAAGGGCATGTAAAATCTTCTTCAAAGTTTCAATTTTTTGACAGGCTCCTTTTCCTGGCCATCATCATTCCCGCTTGTCTTTCAGATTGACATTTCCTCACTAGATCGGACTAGACACAATGTAGGGTAGGGATCGCTTTGTCCCAGATTAAACTTTCAAATATCTCGTCACCATTGACGTCAAATTACCATAGTGACAACTTGTCCTTCTCTACCTTAAATCATTTTGCTCAATTTGAAAATTCAAATGAAAACCTGATACAGAATACTCTTCCGTGGTTCTAGCCGTGGTTCTAGCGGTCTACTTTATGTAACACTAAAGGAACCAATGGCTAACGGTATACATTGAAACAACCTGAAACATTATTGGAACCGCAAGAGATTCTTTTCCAACAAATTACACCCTGCGTATGACACTGATAAAACATGATAAAATTACTTGAGAAAAAGTGCCCCTCAGCATGGAACTTCTGAAAACTTTGAAGATTATTTCAGGACAAAGAGATATTTTTTTTTTCAAAATAAAATGATCAATCCTCACAAATACCAGTAAATCCAGGTAAAAGTTCACTGATGACGTCAGTAAATAAATACAGCAAACTGCCTGAATGCAGATAACAGCCACTCAAGGTATAAAGGGTTACAAAAATACAAGTGAGGAACAAAGATGGACACAAGGATCGCTTAATTGCCGCTATATACCTGAGCTGTGTACATTGTACGTGCTAGACATGAACGTATCGATCGTTTTCAATCAAGGGAAACTTGAGGACGAGGTCGTCTGCACAGCCAAGTCGGTGGAAAATAAAGTTATAATAATGCGATCCACTCGTTTGCATTTTCTAAATTGCGAGTACACAAGTTCTTAGCATTATACGTTGAAGTGTTATGAATATTAAAACAAAATCAAGCTCATCCAGTCGCCTAGGCAACAACATAATTTAAATATGAAAGAGAGAAATAGCCAGAAAGAACCAGTGTTCAACAAACATATAACTCCCAGGTCCAAAATACACATTCAAATACGTGTACTCGCCAATGAGTAAGTGGATACACAGTAACAAACAAAGCACTTGAGATCAGATTATCTGTAAAGTTGTGAACGTGACTTGTCACAGACCACCCGTAATAATTATGTGGGATCTACGTCCATACATGTACATACAATAAGTTTCTTGCACGAACATGAATTGACATGTATGAGGCATCGTTTAATCAAGGCGAAAGTTGACATGAAAAATAATACAGCTGTAAAAGTGATTCTCAAACTTGATGTCTGGAAAAATTCCGTTGATGTAAACTCACTTGAAGCTACACAGAAAAAAAGTGGGGGCAACCACAAACCATTAACAGCAGTTTTAGGACGCTGTAATTAAACCACCACCTAGAAAAGTCATTTATTTTAAACATACCGAGATTTTATGAGACCCATTTATTGAAGTTTCTTTGCCTCTTATTCTTAATTTGTTTCTTAATGACAGCGTACATGTGTTTTTTGTCTGTTCTACTCTAGTTCCTTATTATTTTTTTCGTAGTAGGGGTTAGATTAACCCAAACCACCCCAGCCCGACATGTATTTTCATATATGAACCAGGATGTGTTATGCAGGGTCCCCCCCCCCCCGGATGAAAGCTTTCCATTGATATATTGGATGCATACCTTTGATCATGCATCACTGAGTTCAATTGTTTGGAAAATGACATGTAAAAACTTTCTTCACAGTTTCGTTCCTTTTTTTTGACAGGCTCCCTTCTCTGGCCATCATCGTTCCCGCTTGTCCACCGTGTAGACATTTCCTCACTGGATCGGACCAGACTTAATATAAGGTAGGGATCGCTTTGTCGCAGGGAAAAGCTTCAAATATTTTGTTATCTTTTACATAAAATTACCACAGTGATACCCTTGTCTTGGTCCTTCTCTATACTGAACCATTTTGCGAAATTTGAAAACAATTCACGAAAAACTGATAAAGAAGTCAAAACCTCTTCATGGTTCTAGCCTTCTACATTAAGTTACATCATAGGAACCAATGGCTAACGTATCGAGTAAATTGCAACAACCTAAAACATATTGAAACCACAACATACCCCCCCCCCCGCCCCCAAACAAATACACCCTGCGTGTGAAACTGATAATACATCTTACATTTTTGAGTAAAAGTGCCCCTCAGCTAGTAGGGTCAACATCATAGAACTTTAGAAACCTTTGACGATTCTTTCATGTCAAAGATATATTTCCCTAAAAAAGATGTTGAATCCAAATGCCAGAAACTCGCGTTTTGCTTCGTTTCTCACGGCAAGCTAGGGTGTACGGTAGCCGTTTCGTCGCGTTCAATCACGGCGCGTCCAGATGTGTGACGGTTTTACAGGCCCGGTGCGATGCGGCGAGTTGCGTTCTACTACGGTCTGATACGGCGAGCACGGTCTGGGAGGGAGTATAAAAGCATACAATGATTGCTATTGCTTGGGAGGCCTTCTTTTCATACCGTGGGCACAAACTTGCTCCGAAGCTGCCCGGCGTACACGTTTTATCCGTAGAAAGCCTTGACAGAACGCGAAAAACGTGTCAGACTTTGATTAGAATGTGAGGAACGTGAGGGACCCCAGAGGGACCCCATCAGAACGTGACAGGCCGGGAGGGAACGTACTGGCATCCGTGGTAGACCACGGGCCGAACCGCAGTGCGCCTTTGAGCCTCCGGAACTCAGCAGCCCCTTTCCCCCACGGCCCATGACGGATACCGTAATAGACCTTGACTTAGCAGGACCTAACACAACTTGACTACGGAGACGAAAAAAAAAATGCCAAAATTCCACGGCGCACTACGTTTTGGGTAAATGGGGCTGCCGTGACCGCTGGGAACATAGTGTAAACCTAGTCTTAAATGGCTTTTTTCATTGACAAAGAAATCGTTTCCTAATTGTTATGCTGAAAATCTGCCACAATGAAACCACCCTTAACCCAGGTAAACGTTCATTGTTTGACAAGTAACATTTTATCACCTCTTTTTTCAAATTAATATAGCGAGTAAAAACAAAGTAACATAGACAACAAACTACTTGATTGAACACAGTGGCGTAAATCTGTGCCGTGGACGGGGGGGGGGGGGGGGGGGGGGGGGGGGGGGGGGGCGGTGACTAAAATCAAGCAATTGCCCGTCCGTGACAATTAGAAACGCGGGGGTGGGGGCACCACATGCTGGACACCACATGACACTAGGGTGCGCTGTTCATAGGTACAACTTATGTATACTTAAGCTTACGCTTCTTGACCTTACATCAAAATGGCACATTTAAAGCTTTTGTGTTTGTTCTCCCTTTTACAGTACTATTGAAGTCATTTTGGTTAAATTCAAAGTCCGCTTTTTTGTTTCTCACCACGAACAATTGTGTGGGGAGGTTTGATCCAATAGCCCAATTCCCCCCAAAAAGTGGGGTGGGGATGGGAATATACCCCCATCCACCCCCAGCGATTTACACCCCTGATTGATTATTAAATAATGGAGAAAATTATAATGCCCAAATAATCTCACAGTGTGTTTTTCCACTTTCGCTCTCTACAGTCATCACGTACATAATTCAACACACTAGGACACTGCCAACAAGGGTGACCGTTTACCAGGTTAACATGGACATTTTTGGCATTTTCGCAGTTTATTAGTACAAATAAATCTCCAAAATGGGATCCAATTTGATCACTTAGGGTTGCAAGAAAAGAATACGCCCTCGGCTAAATATCTAATGATAGTATCGGATAATAAGCCTGCGATTGATATTTTAAGTACCCGGTGCTTCTATTAAATCAAAAAGTACCTTCTGAATTGAATACAAATCTAGGCAGAAGTTTGTATATGTATATTATTGTTGGTTTGCTCTATTAAATGCAAAACTTTAAGTTGTAGACTTTCATGGACGTATTAGGGCACATGTAAGCCCATTTCGTTTCGTGCACCCTTTTTTCTATGGCCGTGTATACAGTTTAAAAAGAGGATGCTGTAAGATCTCAATTTTTTGAAAGACTGAACGAAGGGAAAGATACCAAGATTCCACCACACATTACAAATTCGATTGATTTTACTACCCTGGAGCATGATGTGGAATATATTCTTTACATTTCACAGAGATGGCTACTGCGGCATCGGTAGGCTCTGCGTTTGAGAAGATTGGCGTTCATCTTGAGTGCAGCATCTGCACAGATAAATACAAAAAACCCAAAGTACTGGACTGCCTACACAGCTTCTGTGAGGAATGTCTGGTGAAAAACCATGATGGCAGATACAGAAGAAAACCAACGTTCCCTTGCCCTGATTGTCGTCAGGAGACGGCACTTCCCCAGTCTGGCATACACGGCCTCAGGACCAACTTCCATTTGGCAGGTTTGATTGAAGAATTTGAATTACAGGAGAAGGTAGCATGCTCAGTAGACTCGAAGCTTTTCTGTGAGACATGCGACGAGGATAACGAGGCCTTGTATCACTGTTTCGACTGTCGAAAGAATATCTGTACGACGTGCCGTAAGGCGCACTTGCGGTTCCCAGTATCAGCACACCATGAGGTACCGACTTTAGATGAAATTCGTCAGGGGAAGGTCGGTGTGGCACGAAAACACGACGAGTACAAATGCCACAACCACAAGGACGGTTTGAAGCAATTCTATTGCAAGACATGTGATGAGCTGATCTGCCAAGGCTGCACAGTTGTTGATCATCCCACTGCCACACATGACATCACTGCCATCGGAACGGCTTCAAGAGAATACAGAAAGTCACTGAAGAAGGGCTTGCCTGCTTTAGGTAGAGACATACAAGGCCTCGAGTTGTCTCTGCAAGACACTATTGAGGCCAAGAAGATAGTCCAGCACAACATGGTGAAGGCCCGAAAGGGGGTGCAGGACAGAGCTGCTGAGTTCATAGCACAGGTTAGAGCTGAAGAAAAACGACTCCTTCTTGAGATCAAAAGCCAGGAACAGAGGCAAAATAAGGCACTGCATGAGCATGAGAAGACAGTGAGTGACATGCTGCAGAGAAAGAGGCATTCACTGAAAACCGGCAACGAACTAACGAGCAGTGCATCGGATTCCGATTTCCTTTCACTCTACCCCGTGATCAGCAAAGATTTGACAAAGATGAGCAATCAGCATCTTCCACAGTATCATCACAAACTTTGGTATCTGAGGTTCAACAAGAGTCCGACAGCTGACATCGATTTGGGCAAAGTGGAGCAGGAAGGAGACAAGTGGGAACTGCATCATGAATTCGGCAAGCAGGGGAGTGGTGCAGGGGAGTTTGAATCAGCCAGAGGCATTGCTGCTGCTGCTCAACCTGACGAGATTGCAGTGGCCGACTGGAGGAACAAGCGAGTAGTAATCTGTAACAGCCATGGACAAACCAAGAGCTCCATCCTGATCAATGCAAGTGAGTTGTTTTTACCTGTCAATGTCTTCAGTAGGCATTGGTAGTTATTCACGTATACATGTACATGCCATTTTTATACTTTTGTTTTGCTCCAGTTCAATTTCTCAAGTTAACTGCAATGAAATTTACAATATGTAAATCAAATTTACAAAATTTACAGTAGAGTACATACATGTACATTTAATTGGTCCACCAATTGGTCTGATCCGCACCACCCCTATATTTCGCTGTATCTTTCTTTTTTTTGCGCAAAATCACAATTGTGTTAAACGAGGCGTTGAAGTCACGTTTGCATGCCACCGAAATAATTGTTTTTCTGCCATTATGTTATCGTACGTCCACTTGACAACTGGAGAAACGCTCTCTTCCCATATTGTCATATTTTTTTTCTATTTCAAATAGTTTGCTGAAATCATCTAAAAGTGCTGTGTCAGTGCGGTAAAAGTAAAAAAAAAAGGACCTGACAAAGTGAACAGCTCCCAAGTTATTATTTAAACGAGGATTCACTGTGAACATATCCAAAGAACTGTCTAGATAAGTAGCGTCAATGTCTTCAGTAGGCAACGGCATTCATAGATGCATGTCATATTGGTACCTACATGCACGTCTCTGTTTTTCTCAAGTTTTTATTCTAAAGTAAACTGCTTTGAGATTTAAATCAAAGATAACCAATAAATTACATACTTTCATTGGTCCTCCAATCGGTTGGTTCTGCACTACCCCCATTAACCATAAACATTACACAATCTGCTGTATTTTTTTTTTTTTTGCGTAAAATCCCACCCTTTTTTTAGTGGAGGCATAAGAGTCGCTTTTGCATGCCGCCGAAATCAATTAATTCCTGTCATTATGTTATCGCCTATCCACTTGACCACTGGGGGACAATAGGGTCCTCATCCTCACTTTCCATGTCGTCCTGTTCAAATAACGCGATAAAATAATCTGAAAGTGCTTTGTCAATGCGATGTTAGGGGTAAATTATTAATACATTTAAATACAATAAAAGGGGGAACTGAAATGTTAACAGAACCCAAGTCACTATTCGAGTCTGGACTCACTGGGAAACTATCCCAAGTAGTAGTTAGATAAGTAGAGAGCGCCATCTGGTGTCACAAGATGTCACGTAAAAAAAAATCTACACCCCAAAATATTTCCCTTTATTGATGAAAACGATTAAGGTAAATAATTCAACAACAGGAGTACTGACCTTATACACGACATCCATATTTTATGACCGCCAGTCTATTGCCGAAACAAGTTGTTTTGGATCAAAACCCCTCTAATTAAACTCTAATTTAACTTTCCCATTCTTCACTTTCCGTTATGCGTATTAAATTACTCAGAGTGAATTTTATTATTGGATCAGAATCACTTGACTCTCAGTCATAATTTTTTTTTATTGATAATAATTATTTAATATAATCTAATAGTAATTACTTATTCAATTATCTGATTGATCTTATTCCATATTTATTTTGATTTCCAGATGACGTTGTTTCTGTATCGAATCAGTGGGTGTGTGCTTACCACGGCAAGATGATGGTTTACAATAGGGACACCAAGCCAGCACGTGATTTTGATACACTACAGGAGAGTGAGGTTGGCAAGACAGAGGTGCAGCTTACGAGCGTATCTGTCATGCCCAATGGTAACATCGTGGTGGGTGATAGGAAAAGGAAGGTGTTGACTGAGCTCGATCCCAGGAATGGTGAGATCCTACACACCATGCTAGTGAAGATACGACCCGACTACTTGGCTGTACTGAGCAATGGTTGGATTGTGATCAGTGATATTGAAGAGGGACTACTAGCGATAGTGGAGGTTTCTGATGGCAATGCTTTTCCAGTTGCCATAATCCAACCAACCATTGGCGGTAAACCAGTGAAATACTGCAAGGGTATATGCAGCAACAGTTCGGGTATTTACATTGCAGTCACTGCCACAGAGTTCGTCAACACCGGTCACATTCACCACTATGACTGTACAGGTCAGTTTATCAGCTGCGTGGCCCAGGGTCTGTACACTCCCTGTGGAATCACATTCACAGCTGACAGGCAGCAGCTGGCAGTGGCTGACCTGTACTCAGTCAAGATCTTTCACAAGGTGTGATGCCAACGATGTCATCCAGCATAAAACCGCTTTCCCGTACCCACGTTTTTCAAGGAAATTGGAATTTATGTCAATTTTCCAACGATTGACTAAACTTTGCTATGGTTAGGCCATTACGTTGAAAATTATTACGATTACTAATGAATCTGTCTTTGAATGATGCGATGTCATTGGAGAGCTGGGTAGTGGCATAACAGTCTGCAATGAACCTGAAAATACGTATATTAAACACTTGGCGCGACACTTGGTAGTTTATACGCAACATCATTCCATGACCCGTCTCAAAACTCTTGAAACATCAATTTGCAATAGAAATTGACAAGATGCGTTTAACTTGAAATTATATCAGTTGTTTGCTGGTGAACAATATTGTCAGTTTAATTTTATCAATGATTGTCTCGACTCGAACTATTTTTAAGCGTGTCAGTCATTATTTTTGGAAGTAATTGGCAAATAAGGTAATAATTCATAACAGAAAATAAACTTTGGATGTGTGGGCAAAATGACACAAGCCACACTGGATATATAAGTTAAAATATTTTAACAAGTTGTATTGAAACTGCAGTATACAGGGCTTCCCCATAATGTCCGCATGTAGGACGTATCAACATTCTCAAATTTTTATGGAATTCCTCAAATTCAATTATAAAATTCATGAACACAAACCTTTTGCTTTCTTATGTGATTTTTTATGTTGGATTCGGTTCAGTGGTTTTTGAAACGAAGGCCATTGTATAACACCGGTCCATTTTGCCTCATTCGAAGTTCTGGCTTTGCTATTACTCTTTATTAAATCCTTGACTCATTTGCTTCATTTGATGGTTGTCTGCAGGTGCATTTTCAAGGACGCATTAAATTGTTACACTGCATGATCCGTTTAATGCACAATTGCACTTCCTGAATTGGATACGTAGTCCACTATGTAAAATTATTTACTAATTTCTGTCATAGGTTCATGCCCGATTTAAAAAAGAATGGTTCAAAAACAACTAGGAGCATGTACATACAGCTAGCTAACGTGTATTTCCACATTACCTCAATGAATTAAACAAATTTATATCCAGATTCTAATAAATCCGAAAACTTGCATTATTCGTTATTACTTCATGTATATTCGGTAGAAACTGGTTTGCAGAAAACGTTGTTTACATTCATTACTTTGGAAAACCAATAATGTACAACTTTTAATGAGGTCAAACTGCGTAATCTATAAAACTTAATTAGAAAACTGGTTGTTATAATTGAGCTGAAATATGATTATAACAAACAACCAAATGTCACAAGAGGGCGGGTATTTATCTTTACTAGCGGGATTCGAAGACTTAAAATATTCCTACAGTACATTGTAAAGTGAGTAGCTTTGTTCAAATAAGAAAAAAAAAACGTTGCCATAGGCCCCCCAAAAAATCTCCGGTTTCTGGTATGGAGCTTGCCCAAAAAGTGGTGCGCCGACGCGGCTTTTTTTTTTTACCTGTTTTTTTTCTTTTTTTTTGCTTCAAATGTCGGCTGATGACTACAAATGGTGCCCGACTAAACTTAGTGCAAATATATGGGAGTCCAGAGAGGCCACATAAAGCTTATTCTCGATCATAACCCCATCTTAAAACACGTTAAAATTGTGCAGCAGCAGGATTCCAGTCAAACCAGTGAGTTTGGCGGGTTTGATACATCAGCTTTTATTGAAAAAAAAAAAACCTTTTTCATTTTGCCGACGTGCATGGCTACGGCGACGCGCGCGCATACCAGAAACCGGAGACTTTTTTGTTTGGCCATAGCGGTTATTAATCAGTCTTAAAAATGATACTTTTGGCTAACATCAAAATCAACATCAAACTGCATGTTTGACGACACTTTTATCGTTACAAAAGTGTATTTCTGATTGTTTTAAAGGTGTTTTCTTATTAAAGTGCAGTTACTCTTTGATCTGCCTAACACTAAGGGCGCTTTGATCTACCAAGCACTAAGGGCGAGACGATTATGTACTTCAGATCCTAACTGTGACCTCGCGGATGCCTGACTGAGAAGACTTCCATCAGGCACCGGCAAGTCCAAGATGTGTTAAATTGTGTCAAACCAGACTTGTGTGTATTAAGTGCCAGTACATTTTGTTTGGCACACTGCTACAAACGGTTTTCGTACCATACATCGTCACCGTTTTCCTGGAAAACCACGCATGCGGATTTTCAAGAAAAAAAAACGAATTCGAGGTAATCGCAAGAAAGTTCCTCCTATTTTAAAACTGAAAAAAAAAAAAATACTACTATAGGTTTTCCCGGCTATTTTAAAACGTTTATCATTCGAGTTCACCAACTCTTACATTCAATTTCGTCCGAGAAAATTGTCCAAAGCTTTAACCAAAACCAATATAGTCATTTACCGTTCAATTTTAAAGTTTGGTCACACTCTTTAATCAGTGGGTCGAGAATATTCGTCGCTACAGATCAAATTCGTCTAAGCTGTTCCGAATTGTAGCTCTCGGAGATCAAATTCGTCTTATATAAATCAATTAGACGAATTTGATTTCTGAATAACATGGTTTGGCATAGACGAGACGAAATCGAATACTCTGGGACGAAAACGTGTGCTCGTTGTTTGAATTTGCTTGAACTGAAGTTGAAATTGTCTGACAAAAGACGTCTCTCACGAATTGTAATCTTGTCATATCGTTTAAGTTGGGATGTATTGGGAATTTTGGATGCATTCGTGTGCGTGTGGATACTTTAATAAGTTGACTTTGTATAATATTACGTAATAAGAACAATGACGTACTTGGCTATTGCTGAACATTACACACGCGCCTATTGAAGCAGTTGCAGCCACTTCATATGGAAGTGTTATTTTCAGCCGTAGTCAAGTAATTTGGTCGCAGCCTTCGACTTTGTATCTGAGTAAGTGTTAGGTCGAGTCCAAACTCCTTGGCTAGGACCAGGCTAGAACCAATAACACTCGTGGCTATGGAAAGCAAATTTGTCCAGAATTGTAATTCAGCATGTAATTTTAAATTCAAATTTGTTTGAACACGTAAAATTGCCTAAATTCAAATTTCGCATCTGCTGCAAAAATATCTTCGCAAATGACTCTCTGGTGGGGATTATTTCGCCATAAGTGCACTCACAGGCATCACTCGAGGAGGGGGGTAGAGGAGTTATAAGTAGTGGGAAGGAGACGGAGGAGGGTGGAGAAGAGGAAGGAGGGGGATAGGGGCGGGGGCAGAGGGGCGAAGAGGAGGAAGATGGGGCAGGAGAAGAGGGGGGATGGGGAGAGAGGGGGCAGGGGGGAGAGTAGGGGGCGAGGAAAGGGGCAGCTAGATGCGGAGGAAGAGGAGGGGCGGGGTTCAGGGGGCGTTGACACTCCACATTAAACGCTTTTCTGCCAACAAATGTGTGTGTTTGTCGCAAACGGACGGAGAGCGCCAACTATTATCCAATATTACCCATGATCGTCCGCTTTTATTGGAAGATGGTGTCCTTCACTTATTTTCGAACTTATAGAGGCCGGGTAATCAGAGAGAAAAAAATCCTGTCAACCTTTTAGCTCGGATGGTCTGTTGGCAACTCTGTCACGACCCCCTAACGACACTCATGAGTGTACTGTGCACTTTGTGCTTTACTTTTGAAATTTGAAAAGTCAACTGAACTTGGTACCCTGACTGACTATGCAATCATGGACTGATATTTTGCAATCAGCAGCAAACGTTTGCCGTCATTTTCCAGAACCGTCCAGTCCTGTGCACTTCGTCGTCGGACCAGACACTGAATTTCTCTTGATTTTGTCAGACGCTCGCATCCATCTGTACAAAAGGTAAGGATTGTGAAACATTGTCGACATTACAACGTTTTGACATTAAAAAACCCGCTAGTCAACATACATGTACAGTGTGTTAGATGTTAATGTAATATAGGAAGGTTTGCATGGTGAAGTGACAATTCCTTTTGGTAAGTTTGTGACGTTCTGGAAAGAACCAGCGGGAAATTAACATTGTGTACAGGATGCTTTGATGATGTCTCCAATAACGGACAAAGTTATAAATGTTTTTCTTTGAGAGCCATGGCCCCCATTTCCCAGGTCTTCAGCATTGCTATTGGGATATGGCGTAAGCCGTGTTCACATTGGACACTAATGGAGACATTTGTCAACTTAACCAAATTAAGTCCAGTGCGGACAGCCGTTGAACTTTCCAATTGTCAATTGTCGACTATTGATTGTAAGCTCTACAGTCTGCAGCAGTTAGTTGTACAGGTCCAATTCGCGGAAGAATCACATTGCTAGTTTTACTTTGTGAATGAGTTCCTTCAGGCAGACACTAATCCATGTACACTGCAGACACACAGTAGTTCAAACGCAATCACTTGCAGTAACTTTCTTTGGTGCAAAATTAAGTCCAATGGAAAGCGGCTTCAGGGTGTTATCCCGGATTCCAAAAGCGGGTTCATGGCAGCTGAATGGAGCCCTTGAATAAAGATATTGTCAAAAGGGAAACTGTAAACATACATTACATTGTAGGGTTATAATTTGATAGCTCAGGTGACAGAGCTCTGGACGGTAATCCTAATGCAGTCAATTTCTTTGTTCAACTTTCAATCTTCTTTGTGCTGAAAATCAGAATTGGTGTCTGAATACAAGAAAATGACAAAGAGGGCGATTGTCCAGCTTGGGCAATTGTTGAAATTGTTGATTTTTTTAGACCACATTATAGTGTTATGATGGTCCATAACCCTTTTTTTCGCCAAACATGCTTAATATCATTAAAAGTTTCATACTAGTGGCTGTTTTGGCAACTACAGTCTTTACGTTGCAACATGTACAAGGTGTATTTTCAAATGTCTATATCTACAGAAGTGCATGTCCGATTTGGTTGTAACGTCATACGTTCACAGACCAGGGTGTTACCAGTAGTGATGAAAATTGAAGTAACGTCATAATGACGTCATCAAGTGCCATATCCACGTCACATTGAAAGTGCATTGTTTTAGTACCCATATGTCCAATTTGGTTGTAAC